GGAGCTTCTGCTACCCAGGGCAAATGCTGGTGATTTCTGTAGCCGCAGCCCCAGCTGATACTCCTTAAGGCCAAAAAATCAACATCACATGATAGATGCTATTTACAAAGGCTGCAGAAATCTTAAAAGATCAGGGCTACAGCATGCTCACAGTATTGTACATTTATGCATGTATATACCTGGGGCACAGTCAGAGTTGCACGTGCTATACATGTATAGATAACATTACAGAATAATCCAGATTTCAAATGATTAAATATTTTTGATACTGCTTCATCACTATATAAGCACATTGTGATACAATCTAATTCACTAAAATTAAGACTGAATAAGCTTTTTACTTTTTAATCGAGGTTAGAAATTAGATGAAATGTAATTATTTTACATATCCAACTGTGAAAGCTTCATTAAAATCCTTAATATTAAGTAATACAAGTTTTTCTAGTATTACAGCAAGTTTCTGTTAACATTAAGGCACTGAAAAAAGAAAGGCTTTCTAATTTTTGATTTTTCTGGAGGATTTTGTGCAGTCAATTGCATACACAAGTACATACTGGATATCTGGTCACACCTGTGTATATATCTATATAGTTTTCTCAGTACAGAGCAAGAGAACACTAGTTATGAGTGTCTTTCCCCATCACTCACCATTGGATAGAGCACATATTCACCTGCAAACTCGGGCCCTTTGGCATTTGCCAGGTACACTATCATAAACAGGTAAACCAGAAATGCAAATGATTATACAGACTGAAGCATCCCTTAACTACTTTAGATTTAAACGTCTTTGTTCTCTAATTAAATCATCTCTACTTAAGAGACAACTCGAGTTACAGGAAACACAAATAAGCAGAGCCAGGGTGAATAATTCCTTTTTGCTATTTCTAGATCAATTAAATGCAATACTCACCAGTGTGCTCTTTCAGCAGCAGAATCCACATTCACTTCAGTGACAGCAAAGCATCATTTCAGCTTCCAAAATGGCAAGACAAGGAGAATGGAGAAAAAAAGATGGTTGAGGGGGTTGGCAGAAAGGAGTGAGAAATATCAAACAAAAAGCAATTTAATTTAAATACCTTATTGTACTAGATTCTTACTACTAAATTTAAAGTTGGCTTTTAACTCTCATTTCAATGGATTTGCAGGAAAAAAAAAACCTAAAGAGTAAATTTAGATTAAATTGATCATCATTATTTATTTTATTAAAATAATATAGCTGAAAGACTTTTCTTCCAGTAAAGGGTTCTGACTTTGATGTCTGATTGTTATGCAAATTCCATGGAGTACAAGATACGGACAGAGGAATAATTAAGCTCAGGACTTTGTCTATAATAATTCTTACAAATGTAAATGTACCCTGGTTTGAGATAATGATGTGTACACGCACTGGGAGCCGTACAAGTACTTTAGCAAAGACAGGAAACCCCACAAATACTCACCAATGCCTCCAAGCAGGCGTCTGGGATGGCAGGGCCAGGCTGCTGACACGCGCCGGGGGCACCCACACCCCCGGCAGCCCCAGAGGAGCCCCTCGTGCTGGAGACCCCCGGGAACAGTTCTCAGCACCAACACACAAACATTTGAAAAACAAAGTGAGCTTTGTTCTGGAAGATAAACATTGACCATATACATCTATATATTTCAAAGCACTCAATTAGAAACTGAACTTTGCCCCTTTCTCAGGCTTTGAAATATTCCGGCCCCAAACACAGGCCTCTATTCTCCTTTGGCGTGGGCATCCCTCTCCCTCTCCTGCTCCCGCTCACCATATGGCCCCCGACCCTGGGACAAATTCTGCACTGATTTATGGCCTCTGCAGTCCCAGAGACTGACCTATGGCATAAATCTGGGGGGTAGCACACATGGGCAGGCTGCACGTTCTTCCCCATGCTGTCCCTGCTCCCATGCACTCATCTCTGCCAGCCAAGGATGGGGGATTTACACCCCACCAGTGGGAGCAGATCTGGGTTCAGGGCACATCACTGCAACCCAGCAAGCAATGTGACCAAATGCAATGGACACCACAACTGCCAGTACAACCTGAAACGTCCTCCAAGAGAGAAAGGGGAATGCACTCGCCCTGTTGGCAGCTGGAGGTTCCGGGCAATTGAGGTGCCTCGGGTGGGTGAGTGGTGCTGAGTCCACTGGCTCTGCCACCACCACAGGGCACTCAAGCTTGGAAGGCAGGGCAAAAGGCACTCATTGCATCATAGGATGCCAAAGCAAGAGTAATCCAGACTGCTCCCTGTGCAGACAAATTAATTCACAAAGAGGAACAAACACAATCAGTTTTTAAGGCGCTACAGCCCATCTTCCCATCTCGTGACGACACACACGTGGAGCACGCAAAGGGAGCGAAACAGCATAGAGGGGCTGAAAAGGCAGCCAGAGCCATGGACCAGCAGGGGATGGCCTTTGTTTCAGCCACAGTTTGGTAAAGAAAACAAGTCCTGCAAGACAACTGTGCACAAGGAGGCCAGTTGCGTTTACTGACAGACTCAGCGGCCCAGGCTGAGGTGTTTGCTGAGCTGCTGCACAGGGGCTGCTCTCCAGAGGCACGTTGGCTGCTCACAGTCATCCATAGCACTGCTGCAAACACCATGGAGATGTGCAGGACTGGATGTTACGGGAGGGAAAAAAAAAGGAGAAAAATTTAGTTTTCACTTTTTGTTCATCTTATTCACCTTTCAGTTTCACTAAGCTTGAAAATCAAGCCAAGTGATAATCACATTCACCTTTTTATTTATAGCCATTTTCACAACTTTTCCCAGAAAACAGCACAGGATGTTTACACTGAAATGAGAAATTGATTGACGCATCTTAAGTGCATTTCCTAAACACCCATCATTAAAAAAATATACACATGGACTTAAACTTCCTGATTCCTTTAAAGTGACCGTTTTTGCCAAGGGTTTTTTTCAGTGTCTGTACCACATATGTATTTAAGCACACCTTCTCTGCCACTCTGGAAGCTTTTCCACAGCACTAGGGTGGGGTTTTTTTTTCCCCCCATCCAAAATGACAAGATTCCTGAGCCAAGTGCAACACTCAACGAGGGATTTTAACTCTATAAATCAGATGATACCACAATCACAGTTCAATGAAAGAAGCAAAAATCAAATCAAATCAAACAAAGAGATCCCATCATCCCCTGCCGCATCCTCCCTCCTCCCCCTTCCCACCCAACCAGCAGCTCTGTAGTCCATAAAGGAGATTGGAGCAGAGCAGCTCTGCCATACACTGCTAAGCACAAAGTAAAACATATGAAATACGCTACACACTTTGTGCTTGCTTTGTTGCTTTCACTCACCCACTGAAAAGGGCAATGGCAAACTCAAAGAGAAGCATTTTAAAGTGATGTGCAGCACCCTCTGCAATCTGCTCTAACACGCTTCAGCCAAGAGCCAGCTCATTCAAACACATTGACTACACTCAGCAGCACAAATCCTGCAGGGTTTGCCTGGTGGGTCCTTGGGCTCGTCAGGCAGAGTGGCTGCGCTTCCTCCACCCCAACACCACTGCGGGCACCATCAAAAGCAAACCAACTTTATACGGCAATAAATTTTTTATTCAAATAAGCTTGTCAACACCAATTACCACAACCACAACTGCCAAATACCAAGAAGCACTGTGAGGAACTCAAGAGAGGCTGCTGCAGCCCTTGTTCCACCGTAGAAACACCAAGTTTGGGATGCGGTCCTGAGGCCCCTGGGCATGGTGGAGCCAGGACCCACAGGATGCAGCCCAGCATCAGCACATGGCAGCAAAGGAGCCTCCCCCGCTCTCTGCTTCCAGCTCCCAAAGCTAAGCCAGCTGTCAGCTCTGTTTCTTACAAAGGCTTTATCTGCTAAAAGTAACAATTCACACAAACCCAAGGATTTTTCGTGACTGAAAATTCTGAATAAGTAGTACTTTTTGATGTGGAAAACTCCAGCAATATGACACGTATTAAAAAAAAAGAAAACAAAAACAAAACCAACAACTTTTTTTCCTTAAAAACATCTTATAAGGTATGATCACTGGCAGGATTATTCTGGAAGCCAGCACAAGCTAGAGTTCCAGCAACACTAGCATGACACAGTTTACACTCCCAATGTTTCACTGCTACAAGCAGGAAACAAAAATTCCAGAAGAAACTCTCAGTACATGAAACCAAATCACCACACAGAGTACCTTTTTTCTGTAATATTTTATTTTATTTATATAGAAATACTTAAAAAAACATGAAGTAGCACCATTACTTAAGTTTTACTTTTATTATGTAGAACTTTAAATGTCAGAAAAATAAAACTCTTGATACAATTTCAAATCTTGTCTCAGCAAATATAATATTAGTATTTGACCATGAGGTTAAAGGCCCTTTATCATAAAATAAAATATACTTTGTTTTTAAACTTTGCTCAGTAAAGTACATTTAAGCTCAAGTAACGTCACCTACATATACATAAACAAGTGGTAAACAAATGTATTAAAATAGAAATACTAAAACTATAGTGGTGCAACAGAATTTTTGTAATTTCCACTGAATTCTATTTATACAAATGTTAGAAAGCTTCAACAGTTCCTTTTGACATATGTTTATACATTTCCATTTTTGTAATAATATAGAATAAAATATGCTTTATATCACTGAATAGAAAATATGCTGGGTGAAGCAGATTTAAAAGATTTTTTTTCTGAACCTATAAAATCTCCATCCCAACAGAATACTGTTCAAAGCATTACACATTTTATGGTTTGTAATTCCGTTCACAATTGTGTGATATTAAAATAATACAGTGTTCTTTGCCATAAGGCCATACTAAAATAAAAAAGATTTAACCCAGCTACAAAAAGTTCACTGAACTTAAATTAAAATACTTGTAAACATCTTTGCAATATGAAATATAATTTTTCAAGTCAAAAAAGAATAAAATACTTCAATCTGTATTAATGCAATTTATCTTTAAAACCTTTAAACGTTTTTAATATATATAAGAGATATGTTACAGTTTTGTTGGTTTTTTTTTCTTTTTTCTTTTTTAAAGTCTGATAAAGCTGCAGTATCATGGTTTTTCACAGGAACTTCTTGCCCTTTCAAGAACATTCAGAAAAGTATCCACCCATAGATTTAATTATTTTGTAATAAGCATCCTAGAACTACCAGCACGTTTTACTAACAGTCCACACACCATTGTCATCATCATAAGCATCTTCTACTTTCAATTTTTTTTCTGGTTTTTGTTTTGTTTGTTTATAAAAAAATGGGGGAGTTTTGGAAGCTTCGTATTAAAGTACAGTGTAAAAACTAGCCTAGCACTAGAATGGAGTCGCCCGTTATTATTTATAGCATGCACCCGCTGTCACACCACCCCCCAAGCCCTCCCTCGGCCGCATCCGCACCCCCGGCGGGCGCGGCCCCGGCCCCGCCGGCCCCCCCCGCCCTTGCCCTGCCCGGCCCGGCCGCCGCTGCCCCCGGCGCTCAGGAGAAGATGCGGATGGCCTGGGTGACGGCGCTGTGGCACACGGGGCACTGCGGCTCCGTCTTCTCGCAGATGCGGTTGGCGCACTCCATGCAGAAGAGGTTGTGGCCGCAGGGCACCAGCGCCGCGATCACCTCGCTCTCGAAGCACACCGAGCAGTCGCGGCTGCCCTTCCGCCGCACGCCGGAGGAGGAGCAGGAGGAGCTGGACGAGGAGCTGGAGGAGGAGGAGGACGAGGCGGAGGAGTCGGAGGGCAGCCCGGGCAGGTGGGCGCCCAGCCCGTTGGCGTACAGGGGGTAGGAGGCGGCCAGCAGCCGCCCGCCGGGGTCGCTGCGCACCCGGCGCGCCAGCGGGTGCTCGGAGCCGGCCGCGCTGCCGTGCAGGGGCGGGGAGAGCCGCGCCGGGGGCGGGGCGGTGCCGCGCCGGGGGCCGCTCACCAGCAGCGCCAGGTTGGCATTGGCGGGCGCGGCGCCCGGGAAGGCGGCGGCGGCGGCGGGCGAGGGCGCGGGCGAGGGCGGCGCGGCGGGGCCCCGCTCGAACTGCGGCCACAGGAGGGCGGCCCCGGGCAGCGGGGCGGGCGCCAGGTCGAAGCCGGGCGGCGAGTCGAAGGGCAGCTCGGAGCAGCAGTCTGGGGAGGAGAGGACGTCGCCGCCGCCCCCGCCGTACACGTAGCCGTTGGCGCTGTTGTTGTTGTTGTTGCCGTTGTGGGAGAAGCTCAGCGCCGGGCTCGGGGGGCTGTAGTCGGCCAGGCGGGCGCTGCCGCCCCCCCCGGTGCCGCCCCCAAAGTAGGAGTCGGTGGAGGCGCTGCCCAGCGAGCTGGAGCTGTCGTTGCGGTAGTTGCAGAACGGTTTGCGGCCCGGGGTGGGCGTGATGCTGGGCGGTGTGGGCTTGCTCCAGAGGCTGCCCGTGCCGTTCAGCTCAAAGCCCACGTCCGTGCCGTTGGCGTGGAAGTCGTTCTCGTCCGTGAGCTCGATGATGCCGCCGGTGCGCATGGCGATGTGCGCCTCGATCTCCTCCCGGGCCCGGTCCACGTTCTCGGGCATGCCCGTCACCTCAAAGACCGGCTCCTTGTCCCGGCTCGGGGTCACGATGTACGTGTGCGTCTGCTGCTGGATGCGCTTGATGGTGGCCCCCTTGGGCCCCACGACCAAGCCCACCACGCGATAAGGCACCCGCACCTGGATGGTGGTTTGGCCGGGCAGGTTCGGGGGGCCTGGAACGGTGCCGTTCAGGGCTGTGTTCTTGTTCCGCGAGGCTCGGATCATGGAGAAGTGCTCGGCCGCAGAGATGATCTCCCTGCGGGCCATGGCCACATCTTCCTTTCTGCCCGTCACAACAAAGAGCGGCTCCTCCCCGCGAACCGGGGTCTTGATGTAGGTGTTGGTCTTTGCCCGCAGAGCCTTGATTTTACAACCTGGGAACGAGATGCGGGAGATGGAGGGCGAAGGGGAGGGGGAGGAAGGGGAGGTGGTGGGGGAGAACCGGTTACAACCCATTGTTTGGGTGCAGCTAGGGAGGTGGAAAAAAACACACCCACCCGAAACACATTGCCCCCAACCCCAGGTGATCGTTGGAATCTCGTCCGGGAGCCCCGGTCACGGTGTACAGTAATGTCAGCCCACAGCCCTGGCACACGCCCAAAGGCATCGCAAGTGGCCACCGACACATCTGCCATGCAAACTGCCCCAAAACTACCAACGTGCAGTTCACAGAGACGGCAACACAAAAAGAAATAAATTAAAATTAAAATTAAAAAAAAAAAAAAAGCGTGCATAAAAACTGCACTGCACGGCCAGAAATAAAATAAAATGCAAACAGACCTAACAAATCAACACACCCGCCAGTCCACATTCCTGCTCAGCACTTTCCTTTTGGAAAAATTAGATCAGTTCTTAAAAAGGTGAGGAGCAGCGGCTATACCGAATGAGCCACATTCCCCACTGCGGATGCTTTATTCCAATCCCATTGTTCCACTTCTCCACTCCATTTCTCTTCCTTAAAAATAATCCACGATTTTTAACTTTGGGGTGGTGGTGGGGGAAGCACCGAGACTCCCATTTTCCTCCAGTTTCCTCTTGCAAATCTTAACTTTTGCAGCCGGAGGAAAGGAGCGATTTTTATCATTTTAGTGGTTTTTTTCCCCAACCCGGCAGCTGAAAGTGCATCTCGAAAATGATGCATAACGCTCCTCGGAAACATCACGTCTGCTGCTGCACTTTCTTTGTCTGGGAGAAGCCGGCACTGGCCACCACCGCACGGCTGCAGCGTTCCTGAGAATGGCCAGTGTCGCATCTGAGCCGCCCGCCCGGCAGCGCGGAGGGGAGACCCGCGCCCCCACACCCTCTCGCATGCAAGGCACCCACCTTGTCTCCCCACTATCTCCGCGACATGTTCCGAGCTGGGCACCGGGACGCATTCAGTCATGTTCACGCTCTTTTTCCGAGGCTCGCTGTCGTAAATGGAGCCCGTCTCGTCGTTGTCCAGCCCCAGCAGGGAGAGCTGATCCAGGGCGATCTGAAGGGCTCTTTGGTCATCCAGGGTCTCTCCCCCGCCACCACCACCGCCGCCGCCGCCGCCGCCGCTCCCGTTCCTCTCCATGTCTGCAAAAAGCGAGCTGGGCATAGTCCCTGTGTGTGGTGCACCCTCCGCCTGCGCTCGGCTCAGTAGTAAGAGATCAGACACAAAGGAGAACCCAAGGCAGATGGCCAGCAGGAGAGAAG